TCAAAAACACAAACTTACTACAACTTAAACTAAAATAAAAAATAAACAAAAAATATATTAACCCCCACCCCCCAAAAAAATATATATTAACAAAAATTAACAGTATATAAATGATACTAAAACAACACTGGTCCAGATTAAATTGATGCATGTAATGAAAAAAAAAAAAGAATATTTAAGAACTGATTAATAAGCTGCAACAAAACTAGAGGGGCATGGATTAATGAAAAAAACATTGTTTCACAGACAAGAATGTTTACAAATGCTTTTCAATACTGGTCTTAATTACAGTGCTGGAGTTTCCTCATTTGAAACTGATCAAAAACGCTCATGTGTGAATCAAACAACCTTTTAAACAAACGCTCTTGCCTGTTAAACTGCAGATGAAGTGCACTTACAGCAAACTTGACTCAGAAATACACCTATAAAATGGAAACATCATTGCACAACATGCTATTTTTACAAAATATTCTTGATCTGACAGTTTTACAGATCTCACAGCCTGTCAAGGTGGACCACAAGCTTATTTTATGTCCATACTGAGTTTATCCAGTGCCGTCTAAGGAACTGAGTGATGGTGAAAACTTTAGGAATGAATGATCTCACTGATGTATCATTTATCATGTAAGGCTGACTGAACCACTGCTGTAAAATAAGGGTGATTCCTTGCTTTCTCGATCAAGAAGACTTCTCTGTTGTATGTCACCCTGTGTAAGTCATCAAAGTATGATTTCAAAACACAGATTGGGACAAGGAGAGAGTACTGTTTTAGGCATTAACATTTTCTCCTTTAGGTTTCGCTCAGTATCACAAATGCTTCTGTGATCAAAGTGAGTAAACATCACTCTTGTTCACTCTAAATAAATAAATGTTCACTCTTAGTAAGCTGGACTAGGCTGTGTCCTTTTCTCATGTGGGAACACAATGTCCTCCTCTCCGAAATGTTGTGATGCTATTTTCTAAATGCTGGCAAACAAATGCATCATTACTATGGTAAGTATGTAGTGAGATCATGTCTGTTTTACATTCAAATTACATGCAAAACAACTAAATCCCTTTAGAAACTGCAAATTAATTATTATTTTTTTGTTATTATTATTATTATTTACACATCTTTCCTATACTGTATGTTGACCCGTTTAAAACGAAATAGCAGTGAGCTGGCAATGGCAATTAAATTATTTTCACCAAATAATTTAATTCACAATACTTCACCCGTACGGTGATGAAAGAAAAAGAAAAATGGAATAAAATAATTTGATTTGGTGTAGCAGCGGAACTGATGAATAAAGGCAAAGGTTCCTACCGGACTGTGTTTTGTAGAGGACAGGAGGTCGAATAACAGGAAGAGGAGCGGCCGCCACTATGGCGGAGGTACGTGAATAAAAACAAAATTTAATTACACTTTCCTTCTTGTTCACTGACAAAGGTGGGCGTCTGAAATGATGCGTTATAATCAATGTTTCGCTCTCCAACTATCTGAATAATACGCACGTGTACTTCTAAGACCGTTACTATTTGACATGTTAGCGTTTCTCCAGTGGTCGTCAAAGATAAATATCGACGTCGATGACTAACTTTAACATTGAGATCCTTACTTTCCCTGTCAGTATACTCATATAAATCTGAAACCAGCTGTCATGTTTAAAACGAGCTTCATGTTGTCATCAGATTTCAGTCGTTTTATGATGCTACAAGGGCGTTGTGAGTGTAGTTTCTGTGTATATGGGTATGATTTCCTGTGTTTTTAATAACCAGCTTTGATGATAATTAAAAAAAAAAGTTTATTGAGCGGCAAATCAGCATATCAGAATGATTTCTGAAGGATCATGTGACACTGAAGACTGGAGTAATGATGCTGAAAATTCAGCTTTGACATCACAGGAATAAATTACATTTTAAAAAGCATTCAAATAGAAACAAGTTATTTTAAATTGTTATAATATTTCACAATAATGTATTATTAATAATGTTATTGTTTTAAGTATCATTCGTGAACATAAAAGACTTATTTCAAAAGCGTTTGTAGTGTGTAGATAAATGTTTTGCTGTTTTTATATTAAAAAAATAGCAAAATAAGAGACTTATTTCAAAAGCACTGAACACCCTTTTGAACTGTAGTGCATGTTGTAGTAGATAAATGTTTTGCTGTTTTTTTTAATATAAAAAAATATAATACTTTCCATATTATGTTGACATGATGGAAAATCATACTTATCAGTTATTGGCGGGTATGATTTCCTGTGTTTTTAATAACCAGCTTTGATGATAATTAAAAAAAAAAGTTTATTGAGCGGCAAATCAGCATATCAGAATGATTTCTGAAGGATCATGTGACACTGAAGACTGGAGTAATGATGCTGAAAATTCAGCTTTGACATCACAGGAATAAATTACATTTTAAAAAGCATTCAAATAGAAACAAGTTATTTTAAATTGTTATAATATTTCACAATAATGTATTATTAATAATGTTATTGTTTTAAGTATCATTCGTGAACATAAAAGACTTATTTCAAAAGCGTTTGTAGTGTGTAGATAAATGTTTTGCTGTTTTTATATTAAAAAAATAGCAAAATAAGAGACTTATTTCAAAAGCACTGAACACCCTTTTGAACTGTAGTGCATGTTGTAGTAGATAAATGTTTTGCTGTTTTTTTTTATATAAAAAAATATAATACTTTCCATATTATGTTGACATGGAAAATCATACTTATCAGTTATTGGCTGAGTGTTAAAATTGAATATTTCATAGATTATCTTGTAGGTGAGTGACTTCAACTTGGATGTCTGTATCGCAGGGAAAAAACGCTTTCGGGGTTTTAAAGCACTTCATTTGCTTAACCTGAGTTTTTAAAGATGGAGCTCACTGTTTTTGAGGACAGAAGTATTGGTTTTTAATAACCCATACTCTGGTTTTCTCTCCAGACGCACAGCTTGCAGGACCTGCGGCAAGCAGCCGTCGCCTCCAAGGTTTTCGTTCAGAGAGACTACAGCTCTGGAACTATCTGCAAGTTCCAGACCAAGTTCCCGGCAGAGCTGGAGAGCAGGGTGTGTGGAGATCCATAGCAAACACAAAGGAACCATTTACCACTGATCTGTATTTACAGATGTCAAATATATCTAAAGCTTTGGCAAATGGATTCTGTCTGAATACAGATAATTGTTTTGTTGGTACAGATTGAAAAGCAGCAGTTTGAGGAGACCGTACAGACCCTGAATAATCTCTATGCAGAGGCGGAAAAGTTGGGCGGCAGGTCATATCTGGAGGGCTGTCTGGCCTGTCTCACTGCGTACACAATCTTCCTCTGCATGGAGACCCACTATGAGAAAGTGAGTTGACAGAGTGATAGGCACTAGATATCATCAACATCACATTGTCCATGTGGATTTCACTGTTGTGTTGAATTCATTCAGGTGCTGAAAAAGATTGCCAAGTACATCCAGGAGCAGAATGAGAAGATCTACGCTCCTCTTGGTCTTCTCCTGACTGATCCCATAGAGAGGGGCCTCAGGGTTGTATCCTTCCTACATCATGCGAGTCTTTCTGTCCCCTGGTGAAACAAGAGTTTTCTGACCTGTCAGAATTGCTACTTTTAACATTCTTAGAAACATACACTACCGTGCAAAAGTGTTGGGTCAGTAAGATTTGTTTTTAAAGAAATTATTACCTTCTATTTCAAATAAGTGCTGCTCTTTTAGACTTTTATTAAAGAATCATGAAGAAAATGCATATAGTGCTGGTTCCGTATGTATGTATGTAATATATATATATATATACACACATTTATAAATTCTCTATATATATATTATTTCATTTCCATTTAGTTTGTTGAAGTATTAAAATAACTCAAATTAAATAAAACTAAAACTTAACAAAAGACCTATACAGACGTAATAAATTCAGACATAATTTAACTAAAATTAAAATAAATAACTAATACAAATCAAATGACAGTAGTTTATCAGTAATCCTAAAAAATAACACTGCCAAACACACATTAAAAAACAACTTACACGTAGTAAGAAATGGTTATAAAAACTGAAACAGAAGTGAAACAAGTAGTAGGAAAGAGGAGAAATATATCATGTGGAAACATCATGTTAAGCAGCTCAATTGTTAATAAGAAATGTTTCTTGAGAATGATTTCTGATGGATCATGTGACACTGATGACTGAAGTAATGATGCTGCTTTTAATGATGCTTATTTAATTGTAATAAAATTTCATTATTTTTTTTATTGCTTAATAATTTAATTATTTTTCATTATTACTGTTTTTACTGTATTTTTGAACATAAATAATTCAGCCTTGGTGAGTTTTAGAGACTTTTCAAAAACATTTCAAAAATCTTATCCCAAACTTTTGAAATGTAAAAAAAAAACAAAAAAAACCTTTCATAGTCTTACGGCAGTTCATTTCCTTAACTTGAGTTTTCAAAGGTGGAGATCATTATTTTTGAGGATAGAAGTATTGGTTCAAGATAAAACACACCAAAGGTAAGTCCTTTTTGATCTAAATATGATGATATCCAATGTATTTAGTGCGTTGGATAATCATCTTGAAATAATGAAGTGCAATATTTTATTTTTTCCTGCAGGATCATGTTTGGATCGTGATTATTGGCCTGCTGGATTCAGAACCTGCTTCTCCATCTCATGATATCACAACCCTATTGCTTTAAATGTAGATAGTATACCTTTATTTCCAGACCACCGATCCATTCATTTGTTTTTGTTTTTTTTTACAGAGGGAGAGAGTGGTTATATTATGTATCTTAGTGAAACTCTCCAAACCAGCTTTCCCTCAGTTAACAGCTTTCCAATGTCTTACTTAATCTGAGTTGTGCCATGTAATTTTATATTGCAGCTCCAGTGCGTTCCCTTCTCTTGTTTTCTGTGTGTACTTGTCTTGAATGGGAAGTATGGATTAAGTGAACAATGATCAGTCACAATACAGTTGAATCTTGATTATTCAGATCTTTTGTGACTGTGTTCTTACAGTAAAAAATTGTTTTTGAGATTTTTCCTGCAGGATCATGTTTGGATCGTGATTATTGGCCTGCTGGATTCAGAACCTGCTTCTCCATCTCATGATATCACAACCCTATTGCTTTAAATGTAGATAGTATACCTTTATTTCCAGACCACCGATCCATTCATTTGTTTTTGTTTTTTTTTACAGAGGGAGAGAGTGGTTATATTATGTATCTTAGTGAAACTCTCCAAACCAGCTTTCCCTCAGTTAACAGCTTTCCAATGTCTTACTTAATCTGAGTTGTGCCATGTAATTTTATATTGCAGCTCCAGTGCGTTCCCTTCTCTTGTTTTCTGTGTGTACTTGTCTTGAATGGGAAGTATGGATTAAGTGAACAATGATCAGTCACAATACAGTTGAATCTTGATTATTCAGATCTTTTGTGACTGTGTTCTTTTTTCAAAAAAAAATTGTTTTTGAGAAATCTGCTCCAATTAGTGCTTGTTAAAACGGTCATAACATTCATGAAGCTTCAGTTTTTGTGGAAATTTGAGACTGAGAATTACAGTTTGTTATATTTAATGATTTTATGTAATAATCAGTTTAGTTACTTTAAGTCGCTGTTCTATTCCACTCCCCTTTACAAAAACAGTTTGTGTTTTCTTCCATGCTGTTTTAACACTATATTTACCAATCAACTACTGTACTTTTATTGGGGTCTGCAATATAATCCTTATTGCACACAAATGCCATAAATCCTTAAAAGGCATGGCTTGCATTTAATATTGCATCTCCAGCTTGTATTTCAGACTGCTGTCAGTTTGACTTGTCTTTTGCGTAAATCTTTTTATCAGTGTTGTATCATAATGTCTTTTTTGAAAATCTTTTGACACTTATTTAAACTGTATCGTACAATAAAGTGTTTTCTTGAACAAATTAATTACATTGAATAAACGTTTTTGTTTACATAATATATGTATGTGTACTGTTATTTATTATGTATATATAAATACACAAACATACATGTATATATTGTAAAAATAAAATATTTACATGGATATATATATATTTATATTCATATATAATTTGTATTATATAATGTAATTATATAAACAAAACATTTTTCTTAAATGCATACATGTATGTGTGTATTTATAAATGTATAATAAATTACACAGTACACACACATATATTATGTAAAAGAAAAAAATTATTTTGGATGTGATTAATCACAATTAATCATTTGACAACACTAATACATATATATATATACACACACACAGAGTGCTGGGTAGATTACTTAAAAATTGTCGACTGTAATCTGAAATTGCATGATGAAAACTAGTAATGTAAAATAGATTACTGATTTTAGGTCATGTATTCTGACTTGGGTTACTTTTGGATTACTTTTGACCTAACTTGTTTAAAGATTTGGATTTTTTGCCATAAAAAGATTTTTTATTAAAAAAAGTTAAATATATTCCATTCATTTTTTATCAACATTATGAAATGTGATAAAGATTAAGTTACTCCGTGGTTTCCCAAACTAAAGACCTGCAGGGGGTTTATGAGTTGATGAAAAGCTAAGAAGTAATTAATTTTTTAATTGAAATGAAATTATTTTAAAATAAAAACAAAATAAAACACCCAAATTTGAAGTATTTTATTTGTTTAGTTTACCTGCACTTGACCATTAACTGACATCAGAGAACCGTAACTTCAAGTCTTAGAGGACTTCAAATATTTTAACTCAAAGGGGTTGACCATACAGTCTATGAGTTTGACTTACAAAATGTTTGAGAATCCCTGCATCAGAACAAACAATAATAAACACGAAAACAGCAATGGCATGGTCAAACTCTCTCAGGATTTCAACATTTTAGTCAATTATACATTGACAGTGTTTAGTAACTTGTGTAATTATGTGTCTCATATATGGAATAACTGACTGAAAGGTGCTTTGTCCTCACAAGCATGGATCGCAAATTAATTTACATGACATTTAGATGGCTATACTCACTGTATTAAATATGACGCACAGTACAAATTAAAACGGAAAATTTAAAAGAGGGGGGGGGGGAAGAAGAATTAGATAGAATCAATAAATGATGAATAATTTCTCTCCAGAGATTTTGAGTTAATATGACGACTCTACTGTAGTTGCACCCCTGACCGCTAGAGGCGACTAAAACCTTCACACCGGAAATCGTCATGACGTCAAAGGTGCCAGTTAAATGTAGTTTTGTTTTGTTTTGTTTTGTTTTTTTTATTCAAGGAACAATAACACGCAATAAAAAACATTAAAATAAGAAAAGAAAAAGATAGAAGGACACATTACAACAAACAAAAAACAGTTGCCAGGGGGAGGAAAGTATAAAACTTCAATACAAAAATACAAGATATACATACATACATACACTTGTACGTATATATAACGTCAAATAAATATAAGTTAAATGTAGTGTTGTTACGGTGTTCGCGGCTGTTTCAAAGTACTGCCCACACTCCAGTCCAGTAGGTGGCGGTAAATGCACCTTTCAGTTGGTTTGCCAACCGCCAATAAAATTTAAAGAAGAAGAAGAAGACGTTTGCGGCTGTCTTGGGTTGTCATTTAAACTGGGGTTTCCTCGTGTTTAAATGTCTCTTTAGAGTGGTATGAGTTCATTTGTCCACTGTCCAGTCGCGTCCTGAAACGCGTTTAATGTTATTGAGTGAGAGTGGTGTGCTAAGGTAAGCTAGTTGCTAATGTTCAAGCGGTTATGGGTTAGATTCACGCTCAGATGTTTAATGTCATTCAAGTCCCCTGATATACCGTTAGTTGTTTGTATTTGAGTCATACTTGAGCAGGCGACAATAAAACAAGTGCCTTAATTTTAGGGTTTATTTTGGAAAGCTGTATGTGAATTAATGATAAAATGTCTGCCTTTAGTTTGCCGCAGTGAACACAAGCGCAGAGCTTTATATTGCTGTTATGTGACGTTTGGCCTGTAAGTTTCTGATCCGCCCTATAATGTTTCTTTTTTTTCTGTGTAGAGACTGAAGTATCTCCTCTAAGTCTCCGTGGATAAAGGTCGTCGTCCTCTAACACCCTGGCTCTTCCTTGTGTCAATGGCTGTTACCTCCCCAAACAAGAGACTGAATTCATCCATACAGTCCTCGAGGAGCTGGATGAGTTTCAACAGAGAAATGAGCAAAAAAGGTCATTTCATCACATATCTGAAGAAGGGACACTGGCAGCCTTCCTTAATAATATTCACCAACGTTATTAGAAATGTTTGACAATACTGTTGCTCATGATAGATACTTGAACAAGTAGTTCATGGTCATACAGGGACATGAGGACCACTTGGGCTGATAAACACCCACCCAGAACACCCTAGCAACTGCACAGCAACATGTTAAAACACTCAAAACCCCTTGGCAATTACATAGCAGCATGCTAAAAATACACAAAACCCCCTATGCAACAGCATAGCCACATGCATAAAGCAGCCTGAATGTTAAAAACACCCAAAACAGCATAGCAACGACCAAATCGCTCTAATACCCTAGAAACTGCATGGCAACACTCAAAACACCCTAGCAACTGCATAGCATCATGCTAAAATCATTGAAAAACCTCTTAGGAACTTCAAATTAGCACACTAAAAACACTTGGCACCCCTTAAACTGCATAGCAGCATGACAAAACAACACTTCAAAACATTAAAAACCACTTAGCAACAGATTAAAAAAACACTCAAACCCCCATAGCAATTGCATAGCAGCATGCTAGAAACACTCAGAACACCCTAGCAACTGCAATGCCTTGACAACAACCCTAACATAGTGTCAATGAATTTTGCATATACAGTGTGTCTGTGTGTATGTATGTATGTTTATCAGGCTCTTATGCATGTGTACTTTGGGCTTCCTGCCATATTGTCTAATTTAAATGTTCTGATCTGTAGCATTCTACTCTTCCCACCTGTCCCGAGCCGACTTCGCTTCCTGATTCACCAAACCTGCGCGAATCATCCCAACCTCAGCACCTTCTCCGTGGGCGAGGGCTGCGCACGCAGAGTTGTAGTGTGCTGTTCAGACCTCAGGTAAAGCTGCCAGAGCTCAGAGCTGCCAGAGTTTTAGTGTCTCATCATTGTGGTTCCAAAAATAAAGAAATTGTAATTAGATTTTAAAATACTCGTAATCAGACTACAGTTACTTTTTTATTGATTACAGATTATTCACACAATAGCAATAAATTATTCCTAATTTATTGAATCTCCTTAATTCTTCTTTTTAATCTTTTAAGATTTCTTTTCTTAAATAGGCTACCGCTTATATACGTTAAGAAAGTCTTCCAGTTTTGCAAACATTCACACGAAGACTAGTCACTAGTCAGGTGGCTATTATTACACAGAGAATTGAGAGGGCACACAGCATCTGACCATTTAAATTTTTTTCAGCGTTTCAACAACATTACATCAACTACTAATGAACACCTTAATTTTTATTTGAATAATCACTCAGTGGGTTATTTAACCATGTATTACTATGTCTTTGGAAGGCTTTCAAACACAGTAAAATTGAAAGAAAAAAAAATCAGGTTATTTCTTTTGTGAGCCAGAAATATATTTACTTGAAGTACCACCTGAGATTTTAAGGTATTAAGTTATTTAACACATTAAGTTAATTAACACATTTGCACATTCGTTGGTTAATGGACACGACAAGCAAACGAATAAAATATTTCATATTTTTTTTAGTAAGTGTTTTATTTGATTGTTGTTATTTTAAAATGATTTAAATGTTACATTTTTAATTATTTATCTAATTCTGCCTTGTTGCAACCCTAATTTAAATTCGATGTGATAAACATTAGTTAGGTCAAAAGTAATCTAAACATAATCAAAAAGTAGTCTGATTATATTACCTAAAATGTGTATTGTAAAGGATTACTTTACTAACTACAATTTTTGTCATGTAATTTGGAATCAGTAACAAACTACAATTTGCAAGTAACCCAGCAGTGTGTGGTGCATCTGACAGG